TCATCTCCACCACTTTGTGCTGGTGGTCGAAATGCAAAGGGCATTTTAGGGATTATCGCTTGATTATGTATTTTTATAATTAGTTACACAGCTTTAATGCACAAGTTTTACATAGTCTGAATGTTTCACTGAATTATAACGTATTTGGCTCACTCCACAGTCCACACTAAACTGTACCAACGAGTTACATATAGGCGACAGTAGCTCAGTTGGTAGAGCATTGGCCTTTGAGCCGGAGGGTTGTGGGTTTGAGCCCGACTTTCACCATCGACTCCCACTGTCTGCTGTCGTTGTGTCCTTGGCAAGACACTTAACCTCTGGGAACACCGGGTGCCACAGTGGGGCGGCTGCGGCTGTAAAGTGCCAAACTGCCGTTGTGTCCTTAGGCAAGACACTTCACCCCCATTGCCTAGAATGAGTCTGGTGTGTGTGTGAATGGTTGGTGGTGGTCGGAGGGGCCGATGGCACATACTGATTGCCTCGATTCTGTCAGTGTGCCCCAGGGCAGCTGTGCCTATAGTAGTAGTTTATCACCACCGTGTTTGGAGTGAAAGAATAATGACATGTTAAGCGTCCAAAATTGCGCTATATAAAACTGATGCATTATTATTTATATGGGTCAATGACACAGAAAAGTCCCGAAATGTCTGCGGCTGCTACTGCCACAGCACCAAGTCTGTGGCAGTAACACAGTCAAAACACAGATTATTTCACGTCCGTACTATTAACAGTACTCCAGACAGACTCGATGTGTTACGTCAAAAACTCCCAGTTCGTCTGCAGTTATTGAATGATAGTTTTTGCATAATGTATGAAGGTTATTTTGTGTTTTTATTATCAACACTTTTTTTTGCTTTTGAATTCTATAAACTGTAACAAAAAAGTATTCATTCAATCCATCCATCCATTTTCTACCCTTTAATCCATTTCTGGGTCAGGGGGGTGGCAGTCAGAGATGCCACCCAAGTCTCATAAATAAATTCAATGTTTTAAAATTCAGTGTCCAAAATATTCAATGTTTTAAAATTCAGTGTCCAAAAATTCAATGTTGAAAAAAAATCAGTGTCCAAAAATGTGTTGCATTTTTTTTCGCTGCTTGAAATGTCATGCTTTATTTCTGGGTAAATCAAGAGCAAAGCAATCGATCAGCCAATCCTCCATAGATGTAGCCAGGGCCAGAAAACGACTGTCCTGTTCATCTGAACATGGCGTCCACAGTAAACCAGTGCGTTTTCTCATCATTAGTTGGTATGTAACACACAAACCACTACTGTTTGTACTTTCTGAACATGTTTTTACCTTAGCTTATCATTAGCTAGCTCCGCGTAGGTGGATTCTACGTTTTGGCGATTCCCCAAAGCTAATCTTCGCTAATGCTAAGCTAAAATGAACCGCAGGAAAGCCAAGTACATGGGGGTTTGTGGTTCTCGTGTGACGTATTTACCATGTTCCCAATTTCAATGTGTATATTATTCTAGCAGTGCAGCAAGGACGAAACCTGCTGACTGTTTAGAGACAGAGCATGCTAAGGGGTTATTGTTAATTATGTTGTTCATTTTTATGTATCTAGACCTCCGATAATTATTCTATCTTTACTCATCTCCAGTGATGGGAATAACGGCGTTACTAGTAACGGCGTTACTAACGCCGTTACTTTTTTCAGTAACGAGTAATCTAACTAATTACTTTGACAGTAACTATAACGCCGTTATCATTTCCGACATCCCGTTACTGCGCGTTACTCAAGACGCACAATGAACGTGTTGTCATGAGAGAAGGGAGGATGAGAAAACCTCTCAGCAATTATTGGCTGATGTAAATCATATTTCCTTTACAATCTACATGTCTACAGTTGAGAGGATGGCTCATAAATTGTGTTTTTGAAACAAATATGGGTCTTAATCGCGCTCAACCACAGCTTGTATCACCGTGAGGTCAGCCACAGAGGAGCGCATGTGAGCGCAGAAGTCGGCTGCATACAATTCCATCGATAAGCTCCTTGCTCTTCCTGGTTTATCTGCTAAGGACAGCAACAAGTTTGGCTAACATACATATAACACATTTTTACATAATCTAAAATGCACATAGGGTAATTTTTCAATTACTATAGGAATGATAAGAAAGAGAGGTGAAGTGTAAGACGGTTGATTTTAGAAATTGGATGCAGCCGGCTGCAGCAAAACAGAGGAGTTTACGGAGGACACACGCGTTTTGTTTTACTTTTTAAAACTCATTGGACTCATTTCCAAATGGAGGATTACATATCTACGCTCAAACCATTAACTGGATTTAAACAAGGAACTGGTCTGAACCGAAGTGGACTGTGCAGGTCATTTATAAGGTATAGCTATAAGGTAAGACCCATAACTCATAGTTTTGCGTTTTGTATGAACAAACAATGCGGGCATAAAACATATTTTGCTGTAGCCAAACAAATTGTCCACTTGATTTATATGATGTATATGTTCATCTGATTGGACTGAAGTCAGTGCTTCACCAGCCTCACCGCTCGTCACCGGTGTTTCCACATTCACAGTGGAGCGTGTTGGTGTTTAGTGCTTTACAGCACAGTGAGAGATGAAGAGTGAACAGGACTTCAGCAGCAAAACAGCCTTTTCTAGATGGAAATATTGGCACTGTTAAAGGTAAAAATGCGCACGTCGGGTGCACATTATGTTCCAGAACAAAACGAAAAAGTAACGCAATAGTTACTTTTACTGGTAACTAGTTACTTTTATAGTGGAGTAACTCCGTTAGTAACTCAGTTACTTTTTGGGAGAAGTAACTAGTAACTATAACTAATTACTTTTTCAAAGTAACGTGCCCAACACTGCTCATCTCACATCTTAGTGAAACCAAGATGGAATGAAGGATCGATTCTTTAGGGAGAAAACAAACCCACGGATTCAATATTAATGCTACAGAGAGGAATCATCCATCCATCCATCCATTTTCTTCCCCTTAATCCATTTCTGGGTCGGGGTGGCAGTCAGAGCTGCACCCAGTACACATCAGACTGATAGATATGGTTTTAATTGAGTATATTTGTAAATCCCACTCTACCAGCCTCCTGTTAAAGACTGGACATGTATTTACATTTACTGTTGATATGTTAAGTTCATGTGTGTGTTTGTAAAGACATCGTACTTCTGCTCCTCCTCAGAGCGTCTGTTTCTACTCTACTACTGTGTATTTATATTAATTAATTTGACTGGGACAGTACATGTATATGAACATATATGTCGACATGTCTGATTGTAACAAAAGGCTCATTTTAATCCCAGAAGAACCGGGTCTGTTTAAATTAATGATTTTTTTTTGTGTGAATTTCTTTTCCAGAGGCAGCTGTCTTTCAGAGGCATCATTTCTTCATCCATTTCCATCACCTCCAGCTTCTGTGGATTACGATATAAACTACAACGACCAATATGTTCATTTGTTTTATTAATTACAAGTCATGGATAGTTAGAACACATCTCTCATTTTCTGAAGCCATATGCAGCAGTAGCAGCAGCAGCAGTAACAACAGCAGTAACAGCAGGTGCCTGGACGTCTGCCTCTGACTGTCTTTTCTACGGTGGACTCATCACAACCTGGAATAAAATAAATTAATTATGATTTAGTTTTTTGTGTGCAATGAAAAGTGACGTATGCGTTTTTTTATCCAACCACACAATCCGTGAGAAACATGTTTCATAGCTTGTGTTACTTTAGCAAATTACTTTACAACAAAGTGATGCACAAACGTATGGGGTGCCGATTGTAAAAATTCTGTTAAATTTTTTTAGCTGACATTTTTAACATTTTTCTACATTTAGCTCACTTTCCTCACATTTAGCACATTTTCCTCACATTTAAGACATATCTATATCTAAATATTATATCTATATCTAAATGTTAAATGTTATATCTAAATATTATATCTATATCTAAATGTTAAATCTAAATGTTAAATCTAAATGTTAAATCTAAATGTTAAATCTAAATGTTAAATCTAAAATGTTAAATCTATATCTAAATGTTATATCTATATCTAAATGTTATATCTATATCTAAATGTTAAATGTTATATCTAAATATTATATCTATATCTAAATGTTAAATGTTATATCTAAAATGTTATATCTATATCTAAATGTTGAATCTAAATGTTAAATCTAAATGTTAAATCTAAATGTTATATCTATATCTAAATGTTATATCTATATCTAAATATTATATCTATATCTAAATATTATATCTATATCTAAATATTATATCTATATCTAAATGTTATATCTATATCTAAATGTTAAATCTAAATGTTAAATCTAAATGTTAAATCTAAATGTTAAATCTAAATGTTAAATCTAAATGTTAAATCTAAATGTCGCCAAGTGTAAAGCTAAATATATAGAAACCACGCCCACTGCAGTGGCTTCAAATCCAGTGGGCCCGCCTTCCGTGCCGTGTGGTGAGAACCCTACAGGATTACACAGGAATCTCACGGGACTCCACGTGGCTTAGTTTACAGTGAATACACTCTGGCTCCAGCAAATAAGCAAGAATCTTCACAAAAATGCTAATTTTGTGCCGTGGCCAAGGACGATGGCGCCGGAGACCCAACATGCCTTGAGCCGTGACGTCGGTCCACGTGTATTCCTATGTTCAAAACACGCGGCACGGAAGGCGGGCCCACTGGATTTGAAGCCACTGCAGTGGGCGTGGTTTCTATATATTTAGCTTTACACTTGGCGACACATTTAGATTTAACATTTAGATTTAACATTTAGATATAGATATAATATTTAGATATAACAGTGTTAAGAGAGAGAGGACGCTGGCGTTGACTGCTCGCTGCTTCTCTGCAAATCCGTGAAAATCCTGCTAAAACTACTGTCGTTTTTCAGCTAAATACGACAGTAGACTCTTAACACTCAATTCTACCGGAGTGTTGATTATTTCTAAACCTGGTTTCCCGACACTAACCTGGACTTGTCCGGCATAGTCCAAAGCGGCCGATGCCATCACGCTACGGACTCATCGGGAGCCCGAAATCCAAACCCGGGTCTCCCACAGTGGGTCAGTCTCTGGAGGACCTCCGCTGCATGTTCTCCTGGAGCCCCTCATCACCACGGTGGAGGCTGTGGATCGTTTTCCTCACCTGTCTGTCGATTGTCGGGTGCAGCTCACCGGGTATGTGGCTAACGCTAACAACAACTAGCAGCGGTACCTCCACCATCGTGCCGGCCGGCCGGCTCATCGACTCGGACGTGGCGCCTCCATAACAGCAGTCCATCTCCACGATCACCACCACTGGACCTTCCACGCAGACAACGTTACATCCACAGAGGATCGGGCCGCCGGTTCACAGTCCTGAAACACGGCGGCGAAAACTCCATAGCATCCCTGTGGTCTGCACAACATGGCGCACTTCGACGACGTCACACTCTCACACGTCATCAGAGCACTGCCACACACAGAGCTCATAAAAGGAGCGAGAGAAATCCCGGAGTGGACTACAGTGTTCTGCGCCCCCTAAGCGGACTGGATTCAAAAAGAACCATGACAATTGAACAACTTAATGTTCGGTCTCTGTCAAATAAAGCTGGACTTATCCATGACCACATTTCGGAGAGGGATATAGACATTATGTGCCTCAGTGAGACATGGCAACAGCCAGGGGTCTTCTCTGCCCTCAACGAGGCCTGCCCCCCAGGGTATTCGTACCTACATAAGGCCCGCACTACTGGCCGCGGTGGGGGCCTAGCTGTTTTATATCGCAGCACCCTTCATCTATCCCCTCTTCCAACCCCATCAACATCTTCATTCGAAAGCTTGGTCTTTAACTGTAAACATCCACTTACTGCTACAATAGCCCTGATCTACCGCCCCCCCAAACCACAGCCATCTTTCATTTCAGACATCCATGACTTTCTCAGCTCACTCTGCTCATCCTACAAAAACATCCTATTCACTGGTGACATCAATATACACATGGACTTGCTGACCTGTCGACTCACCACTGAATTTAATCAGGTTTTGGACTGTCTAAATCTAAAACAACTCATCAACTGTCCCACCCACAATAAAGGTCACACACTGGACTTGGTTATCACAGACTCCATCCCAATCACTGACCTGCAGGTGTATGACATTGGTGTCTCTGACCATCTAGTCACTTCCTTCACAGTTCCCACATCCTCCCATCTCGACAAACAAAAACGACATATCACTTTTCGGAACATTAAAAACATTAACCCTGTCTCCTTCGAACACGACCTTCAACTTCTTTCAGCTCCCCCGGAATCTTCAGCAGCAGACCTAATGGACCACTACAACAACAGCCTCAGCTCCATTCTGGACATTCATGCCCCACTGAAGACCCGGACTGTCAACTTCACCCGCTCAGCTCCCTGGTACACCAACCAGCACAGGGCCATGAAAAGGTCAGGCCGTGTCCTGGAGCGGGCCTATACTACATCTGGGCTGACGGTGCATAAGTTGGCCTACTGGGAACATCAGAAATCCTACGCAAAAGCACTCTCATCAGCAAGGTCAGGTCATTTCTCCACAATCATTAACAATAACCCAGGTAATTCCAAAAAACTTTTCTCCACCATACAACATCTTCTCAAACCTCAGTTGCGTTCCCATCACACCCCAACAGTAACGAATTGCAATAACTTCCTTGATTTTTTCACTTCCAAAATTGACAACATCCGTTCCACCCTCACAGCTACACAAGATTCTTCCCTAGGCATTTCAAAATCCCCCTCATCACATAGTGTCTCTCATTTCACACCCATGACGCAGCAGGAGGTCGAGAAGATCATTCATACCTCTAAACCATCCACCTGCTCCTTGGACCCACTCCCTACCCCTCTGCTCAAAACCTACTCCAAATTCATCAGTCCCACAATAACCAAAATTATCAATCTCTCCCTTGGTACTGGCACCATTCCACCCTCCCTCAAAACAGCTCTCATAAAACCATTACTTAAAAAACCCACTCTTGACCCTGTGCCCCTCTCCCATTACCGTCCTGTCTCAAACCTTCCATTCATTTCCAAAATCCTCGAAAGAGCAGTCTCCACTCAACTCCATAATCATCTCAAATCAAATAGTCTCTATGAAAAATTCCAATCTGGTTTCCGCCCCTCCCACAGCACAGAAACAGCGCTCATCAGAGTGACCAATGACCTTCTCATGGCCTCTGACTCCGGTTCCACTTCCATCCTCATTCTTCTCGACCTCACTGCTGCGTTCGACACCATTGACCATAACATCCTTTTACATCGTCTCCAGCACCACATTGGCCTCTCCCACACTGCCCTCCACTGGTTTCACTCCTACCTCACTGACCGAACCGAGCATGTGGTTCTGGGGGACGCTAAATCTCGCCCCCACTCTGTCACCTGTGGGGTCCCCCAGGGCTCCGTGCTTGGTCCCACCCTCTTCACCATGTACATGCTTCCCCTCGGGTGTGTCGTCAGCAGGCATGGAATTCACTTCCATTGCTATGCTGACGACACACAACTTTATCTCAAAATCACTCCATCCACCCCTCCCTCTGCATCTCTCTCCTGTCTTACCTCCTGCCTGGAGGAGATAGGAGCATGGATGAGGCAAAACTTCCTGCAGCTGAATGGCTCAAAAACAGAAGCCATTCAAACTGGTACTCCCCATCAACTTCACTCTTCTCCCATCACCTCAATCTCTCTCTTTGGCCACAGCATTCCCCTCTCTCCCTCTGTAACCAATCTCGGGGTCAAGTTTGACCCCCACCTTTCCTTCGCAAATCACATACATCACATCTGCAAAACTTCCTTCTTCCACCTCCGTAATATTTCAAAACTCCGCTCTTCTCTCTCTCTCCCGGCTGCAGAGAAGCTCGTCCATGCCTTTGTCTCCTCCAGGTTGGACTACTGCAACGCACTCCTCATCGGGATCCCTGGCAGGAGCCTTCAAAAGCTCCAGTACGTACAAAACAGCGCGGCCAGGGTCCTGATGCGGTTGCGGAAGCATGAGCACATCACCCCCATCCTTCACACCCTCCACTGGCTCCCCGTTCACCTCCGTATAGAATACAAGATCCTCCTGCACACCCACCACTGTCTCCACGGTGATGCCCCCACCTACCTCACTGACCTCCTCACTCCACACTCCTCAGGCAGAACCCGGTCAGGCCAACAGCACCGTCTGCTCCCGCCCAGGACACGGCTCAAGAAAATGGGGGACCGGGCCTTCGAGGCCGCTGCTCCCCGTCTGTGGAACGCCCTCCCGGACCACCTCAGGGCCCCACAGACGGTGGAAGCTTTTAAAAAGGGACTCAAAACCCATCTTTTTACTAAAGCGTACTGCTAATTTTTTTATAGTCTTTTATCTGATTTTATGTGTTTGCTTTTATTTATGCTGCTGTTTGTAGCACTTTGAGATTTGATGTCAAATATAAAGTGCATTATAAATAAAATTTATTATTATTATTATTATAACATTTAACATTTAGATATAGATATAATATTTAGATATAGATTTAACATTTAGATTTAGATTTAACATTTAGATTTAACATTTAGATTTAACATTTAGATCTAACATTTAGATCTAACATTTAGATATAGATATAACATTTAGATATAGATATAATATTTAGATATAACATTTAACATTTAGATATAGATATAATATTTAGATATAGATATGTCTTAAATGTGAGGAAAATGTGCTAAATGTGAGGAAAGTGAGCTAAATGTAGAAAAATGTTCAGCTAAAAAATTTTAACAGAATTTTTACAATCGGCACCCCATACAAACGAGGGCCATAGCAAATCCATCAATCGCACTAAACACATGCATTATTTACATGAAATATCACATTTTTATAACTAATGATTACTCTTAAAACAATTGTTATAACAGAGAAAGTATGATACAAAAGCCGCCTTTTTGGGTTTTCATAATTACTTCCACAGTTAAGACTGTTAGCATAAGGGAGCTCTCAAAATGACTCCCAGGGCATGACGCTCCATTCTGGGCATCAGCGCAGCTCTACACCCGTGGTTAGCGTGTTAGCATTGGAGCTCAAGGCTGGAGGAAAAGTCCAAAAAAAATCTGTTTAATCACCAACAGACCTCTGATATAACAATAGAAGGGGCTATTTCCCACCTCCAATGTTAATACAATTAAATGTTATGTCCTAATTAAATCGTAAATTCAACTTTTACCTTTACCTCATCATGGCCGCTCCTCCCTCCGCTCCGTGATCCACGCTACAGCGGGACGCTCACGTACAACAGCACGGCCTGATAATAGTGTGCAGCGTCCGAATCGCCATCAGAATGAGTCCACTCACTCTGTCACTCACTGTCACACGATATAGTGCGGACATTCGGATAAAGCCAAAGTCGTGTTCTGGTCCCGGCTACATCTATGGAGGATTGGCTGATCGATTGCTACTGTCTTGATTTACCCGAAAATAAAGCATGACATTTCAAGCAGCAAAAAAAAATGCAACGAATTTTTGGACACTGAATTTTAAAACATTGAATATTTTGACACTGAATTTTAAAACATTGAATATTTTGACACTGAATTTTAAAACAATGAATATTTTGGACACTGAATTTTAAAACATTGAATTTATTTACACTGAATACTTTTTTGTTACAGTTTATAGAATTCAAAAGCAAAAAAAAGTGTTGACAATAAAAACACAAAATAACCTTCATATAATGTATATCTATAATTAGAGATTGATTTTAGTTGTATCCCCAACCATTAACCATTGAATAGTCTTCCATGTCCTGTCAATTATTCCATTCGAAGTTCAATACAATGTCTTTGAAAGGCTATTTTTCTTGAAACGGTTTTGAGCTGTCGTCTGAGATCCTACTACATCTATAAGCTACATAGTATCATATTATTAGGTTAAAACATTTTTGGTTTATGCATTCATTTGATTGCCGCTACAAGTAAGATTTGACGCATTACAGTTTAGTGTGAAGAGAGCCATTTACAGAATTTCTTGGTAATGTAATGAATGAATGGAATAAAATCAAAGTCTTTATAAGTCAATATCTTAAAAGTATACAATATTAATTATAATCATATAATTAGATGGCTATAAGGAGTTTTCCTCAGTATGTTATTGTGTTGGTTGATGATTTCTTCTGCCTCAATTTAGATGAATTTGAGTTTTGTGATCCACAGCCGTGTCAGAGCAGAGCGGATGAGCCTGATTAGGAGGCAGAAGGTGGTATGTTGTCAGTGCTGGCGTCACAGCTCCCTCCCCTCCCTCCTCTCCATCCCTCCCTCTCCTCCTCTCCTCAGCAGCACCAGTCGCTCGAGCCGCCTACTCCAGCACAGCTCCAGCACAGCTCCGGAGCAGCATCCCCGTCCTTGCCCCTGAGAAAAGTCTGCAGCTGCTTAAACAGGCACAGAAGTGGTCCCAGCAGCAGAGCGCTCTGGGCACAGTAGGTCCAGGATGACCCCCACACCTCCATGGATGCTCTTTGCCTTGTTCTTGTTGAGGAGCACTTTGGCGTCTCCATTCCTGCTGCCTCCAGACACCCCTGCCCCGGCTGAACCTGCCCCAACCAGACCCACCCCGCGGCCGGACCCCTGTGAGGGAGAGCCCTGTCTGAACGCTGGATCATGCCTGGCCCTCACCTCGGCTGGGCCCGTACAAGGCACCTGGGACTACGCCTGCTCCTGCCGCCCGGGATACGTCGGGCGCAACTGTGAGGTATGAGCTCCAACCAAACACAAGTGGGTTCTTACCAGCAGCAGTTAGAGAGGCGTTCAGCATCAGTCAAACAGTCAAAGATTTCCAGCGCTTCTTATCCACACACTTGTTGAGAGCCTTAACATTAATGCAATGCACCCATTTAGAATTTAGTGAAATTGTTACTCTATGAATAAAAGTGTGGACGTAGAATTTATTTTGCAAAAAACCTTTGTAGAAATGCAACTTAATGAACAACCTGTACGGTGTGTTCTGTCGGCCGCTTTATTTCATATTTGAGGACTTTCCATTCAAATGCTTTATTTAGTTTTTGTCAAATGCTTTGGCAGCAGCCTTAAGTTCTTATCTTCCTGAAAGCCATAGATTACACAGCACCTCATCTTTATCCCACACTCTTGGGAACATTTTTACTATGATCTACTGTCACAGGTTGTGACAAAAACAGCAGGGTTTCTGCTGCACATAAAAAGGCTCCCATGTTTTCACACTTGACAATGGTTCCAGCTCACTCTTCATTTGTCCAATCCTTTCTTTGAAGGCAAAATGGCTTCTTTTTTTTTCAAAAAGTCACTGGTGCTTCAAATCTCTGTTTTCAATGACAATCTCTATCATCACCAGATAAAGACCATACACATATACATTTCCTTTTTAAGTGGTTTTGGTTGTACTTTTTGTAATGTTGAATGGTGCAGACGTCAGAAGCGTTTGCCTTTGGGGCTTTCTACTGGCCGCGAGTGCTGTCACCGAGACAGCCAAATGAATGCTGGGGTTGCTGTGGCAACAGGAGAGGAGAGAGAGCCACAGAGGAGCGGTGTGTCAAAGCCCGTATTCATTTTGTTACAATTGTTTTATCTTGAAGAAAATTAGTTATTGGATTTTTATGAGTACTGGTATTCCTTTGAAATACTGTTAAATATGTACAATACAATGTTGAATGGGAGAGATGTTTTACTGGAAAACAGCATACAAATTCAGCTATATCCATGGAAACAAGCATGATTCTACTCCTAAACCTGGAATTAAAATTGAAGCAAAAAAAGCGTTTAGAATATACTTTCCTGTCAAGACAAAACAAGCAGCTGACCCGGCACCAACATAGTATGCAAGAAGGAAAGATATTTGTCATTCTTTCTCTTTCAAAGCCTGGTGCGGCTTTATCAATGATACTATGAAAGTCTCTTTTGTTGGTGCCTCTTTTGCTGTTCCCGATACATTCATATAGTTTTCTTTGCATTATATAACAAGTACATTTCAAATGAAGCCATGCTCACAATGCTTTGGTGATAAGACATTATACATGCATATTTTTTTATTCAAAACAAAGAAACAACAAGTCTCCATTACATTTTTAACTGAAGTAGAAATGTTACTTTTGGGCTTAATAAACACAATTGCAAGATTTTTGTTCTTAAAACTACAATATATTGGTTCTTTTTAAAGTCCAAGAGCTGAAATATGAAATGAATGCAATAACAAATATACTTAGAGTCGTCTAAACTACACTAAAGGATTTTGGTAGAATAATTTTATACTAGATACTTTTGCTTGTATGGTCCTATGCCTAATGCCTTAATTCAGATGTTGAATGCAATGTTACGGCCTCTGCAACTCCACTGAGTCATGCTGAGGTACAAGCAGCACGATAATGCTGCTATGGCGTCACAAAGGAGAGAAGGACAAGGTGACCGTCTGCCTGAGCTTCTGCACAGTGGCCAACAGGTGGCAGCCCTGCAAGTGAACATGCATTTATCTCGCTCATACCTGCAGGCTGTGTATTGTGACGTCCAAAGCCTTACAGAAAGTCTCTTTGGCAGTCCTGACCAGATTATATTTACTGGAATCAAAACATGCAGGGCCGGATAACAGGAGTGGACTACAGAGGCTGCAGTGTGGGGGCCTTTATGGAGTGTATGGCTGAATTTATGGGTGGTAAAAAAAAACGATTGTTGATTAATCGCGGTTATGTTATGAACCAGTATGGATCAATTATTACATATTTTTTGGCATTATTTCTAGAAGTTGAACGTCATGCGTGCACTAGTGGGCACAGTGTATATAGCGGCCAGAGTGAGTGAGCAGTGCATGCTGCAAGAGGCGTTCAGACCGCTGCGCTTTGAGGCTAGCAGGCTTTGAGGCTTGCAGGTTTAAGCTAGCGGCTTTTCGTCTCTTTGTGTTAAGTTCTCCTCCATGAGTACAGCTCTGCAGCGTCTATTTGTCCCAAGATCCTCCAGAAACATCATATAACAGGAGTATCTGCTCACAGAGCTGCGCCATGGATGTATTATGTATATATCAGCGAACATGTTAGCAGCACAGTTACGGGAGAATCAGAACTCAGGCTGGAGGCATATGTTCACAAGCACTGTGTCCCTCATTGTCAGTCCTGGTTTAATCCTGGGGTAAAATCTGGTTTAGTCCGGGTTTAATTCTGGTGTAATCCTGGAAAATAACTCCAAATGTTTACATTTATTAGCAAATTATTCTGAAGTTACAACTTTGCTTCACAGAAGGTTGTGGGTTCGATCCACCCACAAGACCTTCTCCACCGACTCCCACTGATGTCTGCTGCCGTTTTGTCCATGGGCAAGACACTTAGCCTGAAGCCCCCGCTGAAAGATCAAGGCTGTGTCATATTTGACACAACAGTCATCCTCCTGTGGACTCACCACCTGCAGGAGGATCAGTGAGGGGCTGGTGCTCTGTGAATTTACGGCCAACCCCCGACCCAGAAATGGATTAAGGGGAAGAAAATTGATGGATGGAACTTTTATGTTGAGTTATTGTTGTCAAATGGAAAATCAGTAATCGTGCATTGAAAATTGTTAGTAATTGAAAAATCGGTTCATAATGGAATCAGGAAATTGGACAGATTTATTCAAGTGGATTTACTTTTTTTTCCACCGCTGCCCCATGTTTGGCGTGTCGCCCCAGACAGAAAAGGGAAACAAATTTGACCCAAGCTTTTCACCACAGGGAAGACAGGGTAGTTTCAGAACCAGGGCTCCAGACTGCACCCAGAATGATATTATCCATAACAGGCCAGCAATGGATGCAATGACTGTAAAATAGTTTGGGTTTATTGTGTTACTCAGGCTCATGGCTCTGGGCCAAAACAAATAGGGGCAGTGCAAAGTATATACAAAGTAATTATTACAGAGCGAGTTTAACATCTAAAAAAAAAGAAGGCATGAGACGTGAGCATGTAATTATCAGTAAGGTTGCAGTTGTGGGGTTCCAATGAAAGCTGACTCATGCTGTGAAGTGAAAGTGGTTTAAGCAATTCAATTCAATCTCAAATTTGAAAAGGAAGTCCAGGCATTATTAGCCAGACAGAGCCCACCGGAACAGGTCAGACAGCGACAGCAGACGGGGAGGTTTTTTAGGCATTGCGTTGATTTTGAACCACCTCATTTATGAAGTACACAAACAAAAACAAAAAAGAAAATGAAAACATTGGACACATTTCAAACATCTCAATACTCATTGTTGAAATAAATGTAGGTATCACGATTATGAGCTTCCTGTGGCTCAGAGAATAGTATCTCTGCTTGTCTCCATGGCCTTGCACCAAAGTACATCCATGTCATGTTGTTGCCTTATGAACCAACTCGGTCTCAGAGCAGCCCAGGGACTGGCCTCCTGTTAGTGCCCAGAGTCAGAACTAAACATGGGGAAGCAGCGTTTCTGATTTATGCAGCTAATATCTGGAACGTTCATTCATTCCTTTTCAACCCCATTTCTGGGTTATTGTGCCAAAGGACACAACGGCAATAGACATCGATGGAGTAGGTCTTGGGGGATCGAACCCCTGGAATTTTGAGACAATGTTCAAATTCAGGTTTAAAAATATATCGTCACTCTTTTTTATATACTGTGTGCCATATGTGATTTTAATGTTTTTTATCTGGTTTTGTTAAGCACTTTGAGTTGCCTTGTGCATGAACTGTGCTATACAAATAAACCTGCCTAAATAACTGTAATGAATATTGAAGCACAGTAGATGTTCCTAGTCACATTAAAAACACTGCACAAAACATGAAAACTAACGTCTTCACATTACTTCCAATACATCCCAGAGCCTTCCTGAACACACACCTGACAACGTGATTGAGTTGTCACATTGATTTTTTTTCTAGTTTGTCACTTCCATTTGCCTCCTTGCAGAGACATTTGCAGACCCCCCTCCACTGTTCTTATTCGGGTTTCACAACATCACTTTTTTGTAGTCGCCAAGCTGTTTTCGCGCTGGCATTTTGTGGAAGTTATTAGCGTCTCCGTCTGTAGCTTATTTATTATTGAAGGGCATGTAGTGATGGATTTGTTAACTTTATGCAGTGAAAACAGGGCAGCACCAGCATTAAACAGACTTCAGTCATTGGATTCTGCAGCAACTGGAAACATTTTCAATTTGAGTTGATATTAGCCTGGCACAGGGTCTTTCTAGGGCTGCATGGTTTTGGCTAAATAGATGCTTTTCCTGAACATTTCGATGAGGTTAGTTTAAAACATAAATAATAATAATGACAGATATAAAATAAATTAAAATGCTTAGTATATGTATAATAGTTTACTTTCACTCTTTGAACAAAAATAAAATCATAACATTTTGAAGCAGGATGTAATGCTGCAGAGACTGAGAGGTTTATTGATCAAAGATTTGCAAAAGTGAAAGTTACCCCTAAACATTGGAGAGAACTGAAATATACCACTAAAAAAACGCATGCTATATTACTTTGCACGTGTAGTTTAGCACTTTGATCGATAACTGTAATCTTTAGAGCAATAAACGGAAAAGGGGAATCACTAAATATACACAAAGCATCATGCAAAATGCTAATATTATTGTCCATCAATTGCAAACTATTACACACCTCTGGATGTTTTTGAATTAATGGCTATTGACTTTTCCGCTTCCCATCTGGAGCTGATATAGAGCCACATTTTAAAGAGAAACAACCACTTTTTGCAAGAATATAATAGACATGTATTTGTCAGAAACA